CACCCGTTTGTTCTTCTTCTTCTATTACMATACATTCTTCTTCTTCTTCTTTGTCCTCTACCGCCTCCACGTCTACAAAATCGCTCGTCTCCTCATCGTCGCTGGGTCCGCCGCCAGTCGGTCCATTGCGCACGTGGTAAACGGTTACCGTCATATCACCAGAAAGAAAAAATTTCTTCGTCGACTGTGCTACCGCCTCCATCTTGGACATCAATCGTTCAGAAGTCAATTCGTGAACCGGCATGAAAGGCATGGATATGGGAAACTCCAATTCAGCACCTTCGATGACCAAATGCATCATGTCTTGATTGTTTGCGCCACCGCGCGCTTGAGTCAGCAACTGATCTAACACGTCCACGGTGGCTTGCAGCGCTTCGCCGATGTCTGTGCGAGGACGCAAATGCACCGCCACTTGCAATTCCATAACGGTGGCGTTGAATTTTTTATTGTGTTATTTATTTTTATTGCGTTGTATTTTTTATTTTTATTTATTTTTATTGTGTATAAGCAAACTCGGCTTCGAGCATGGTCTCGTCGTCGTCCTGATCATCATCATCATCATCATCATCATCATCAGACTATCCTTCAGCATCTTCAAAGTACTCGGGTGAATCGGAGATTTGTTGGCGCCATCTTTCGTTCCACTCTTCTTCCATGTTATCGTGTAAGTCCTGACGCGCCATCACTGCCTCGTCTGTTAATAAGCGTCGCTGCTCTGCTTGCTCTTCGTCTTCGCTAAACGAAGAAGAACGAGATGAAGGCGGATCCAAAAACACATCTGTAGGTGGTGGTAGTGGTGATGACGGTGGTGGGTTGTTTAATTCGGGATGCTCCAAGGACATTGTCGTAAATTTCCCATAAAGTATTATCATCTAATTCTTCTTCGTACGGTTCAAGATACCCCGTCATGTTATGTTATGAACAACTAAGAAAAAAGACAGAGACTTATATGAACATTAACATGCTTTTTTATTCTAAAAAGAATATTACATAAAGTGATGGCTTACATGGCTCTCTCACTCTCCTTCACACTCAATTCCCTCCATTTGGGTGCTGTCTGGCGTTTTGGCATCGTGCTCAATAACAGCCTCTTCTGCAGAACGACCATCCAACCATTTTAACACCTCGGTTGTAGAAGGGGGAAAACGTACTGTTCTCACACCCACGCGACTTTTTTCTTCATCACCCACAACATCAATTTCGTCTTCTTCTTCTCCTCTCTCTTCATCTTCCCCATTATCACAAAGCGCCTCCTCAACATCACGACCATCCAACCACTGCAAACAGTGTTGTACAGCCTTTTGCATTTTTTGGTTGTCTGTGCTCTGTTTGCTATCCTTCTGAGCCTGTATAAGATGAATAGCACGAACCATGGGCGCCATCTTTTGAATGAGAGCCTGGAAGGTTTGAGCCGAACGCACATTTTCATCCATGATATCGAACAGGGCTATACCAACAATACTTGCCTTGTCTTCCACGTCCTCCTCCTTAAGAATAACATTCTCTTTCTCTTCTGCTTCATCTTTCATCTTGATCTTCTTAGAACACAAAGGCACATGCACCCAAATGGTATTCACTATCTCTGTTTCAAACACGCCAACGTGATCGCGTTCTGGATCGACAAAGACGTAGGGTTTAAAGACATCTTTACTGGCCTTGATGATATACCCGTAGATGTCCAATTCGCATCCTTCGTGTTCTAATGCTGCTCGACGCGACCTCTCCAAACGCGTACACACCGCTTTCAGCTTTTCTTTCAAATCCAAACGCCCCTCACACTTCACATAGAAGCTGGAAAGCTCTCTGATTTCTTTCTCCTTGTCAGATTGGGTCAAAAAGGGGTCTTCATGAATCAACGCACCGAGCGCCTCCATTCTTTTCATAGCTATCTCGTCTTCTTCTTCTTCTTCTTCTACTTCGTGGCTGCGGCGGCGCGACGAAGACGACGACGACAAAGAAGATGAAGCATCACTCTCCGTAGGTGGAGCCGAAGCCGGTGGCGTTGGTGGGAACGCTAGTGCTATTGGTGGACCAAACGCTTTTGCTGGCGGTGGTGGGAGTTCCATCTCCTCAGACGGTGTATTGGAACGTCCCCACGCTTTGACGACGTACTTCCAAGGCACAGAGTGGAATGCGTCAGGCACCACAGCTGCCGGTTCGGAGGAGGAGGAGGAAGCAACTCACGAGTCACTTTGGTCGACGGCTTTTTCTTTTGTTTTCTTTTAGAATTACGTTCTTTCTGTTGCAACTCGTAAAAACGAGATGTATGTGCATCCACGCGAAACGTACACGGTTCTTCGCCCAGGAACTTCTCGTGAGAAGGGATTTTGGGGTGAAGAGGCACAGCATCCTTCAAAAACGGGACCTGTTCTGGTAGAAATCCAAAGGTTTCTTCCAATGTTATTTCACCCTCGTGAATGCCTGCAGCCCACTTTAAAAGAAAATCTTCATAGGCTTGAATGGCAGATCCAAACCTGGATTTGAACTCGAATGTAGACGTAGGCAGCGATTGTGGAGTCAAGAGCTCGTCGGCCTCTGCAAAAGCCTCTACATGGTATCCAAAATCAGGTCTGGATCCCATACAAAAATGCATGCTGTATCTGACACGCTTGATTTTCAAAGTGCCCTTGCCAGATGAAAGGGTGACGCTACCTACATTGTTGAGAACATCCTACATCCTACATTGAAGACATCCTACATAACAAAAAATAAAAAATAAACAATTTCAATGGGAGTTCAACCTCGACTTAATTCAGAAGACGAAATAATCTCGCGCAGTACAAGTGTTGGCTCTAAAGCACAGAGGTTTGTAGGATAATCCCATCGAGGCAATGCTTCGGCCACAGCCATCTGGTCATGACCTTCGTGGTCACCGATGCACGTATACACATAACGCCTTGCTTTGGGCTCGCTTTGATTGGGAAGCATCCGCAAGAGTTTTTCAAACCGTGCTTGGTAGTGCATGAACATCGGTTTGTGCCAACGATAAAGCACTTCGCGCAGCATGTGCGTCAAATCGTGTAAGGAGTAAAATGGCGGATGAAGTGAATTATCAAATAAACGAGAGAAGACGCCAGGAAAGTGAGGATCAGCAAATCGTCCATCGACCATGACCAAGTGAGATTCGGTATTTCGATACACCACCGCTTTAACATTCTCAAACCGTTCACCTACAGGGTGAGAAGCAAAAGGACATTCAGGTCTGTACAAAGACTGAATTTCATAAGTGTAAGTGGCACGTCTAGCTAAAGTCAATATGTCAAACAATTGTTCCGTTTTCAATTCTTGATCAACACCGTAAAGACTGTAATAAGGGTTAGAACATTCCATCAACTGTTGAGCCTGACTGAACTTTTCTTCTGCCAAAGGGTCGTCGACAAATGCCCCCACAAATCCCAGACATCCACCGACCAACGGATAACGGAACATCTAGTGGACATAGAAAAATAGAGTTCAAAGAAATTCTTGAAAGACGTGGTCGACGCGCACGTGCTCCCAAGGCAGACCCGACCAGACGGGAATGTCCCAAGGTAGAAGCTGTTCGAAGCGAGAAACGTCAAAAGCGTCGAAACGTTCCACAACAGCTTGCGCTTGAGGGCAAATGTCAGGCGGTGGAATTGTATTTTTATCGTCTACGTGTTCAAAGCACGAACGTCGAAAAAGATTTGTAAAATCATCCATTAACAAGAAAATGTGATCCAAACACAAATATCGTTGGTCGCGAGCGCTCACAATCTGCACGCCAGAATCAAATGTTAATCGCCACGCCACGACCGATCGAAAATCGCTCACATTTTCGCACTCCATATCTGGTTGTCGTTTAATGTCCACTCTCCATTGGAGAGCCCATCTTTTAAGATATTGTTCAACGCCCTCCTCAGTAGGTCGCCAAAAACGCTCGTCTATACGTTTGAGAACACGATACATCCACAAACAGCGCAATCGACGATATTCAGATTTGACACGTTGGGAGACTAACATGCGCTCATCCAATAAACGGGACATGCGATGAAGTTCTTCCCAACCAGAATGTGGCGGAATATAGAACCCAGCGTAACCACCAGTCGTCTGACGTCGACCCCCTCGCTTAAGAGCACGCCAACACGCACTGCAACATTCGTCTCCACACGCACACAGGGGAAAGGGGGACATTTCTTGTTTAAAATGGTAATGAAACATACCTGGCTTTTGAGTTATGATTCTTTTCTTCCTTTACTTTCTGAATCTGTTAAAAATAAAAGATATCATATTTTAAAATTGTGTTTTTTATTTCTTACATCCATACATCTATTTTCATGTTTACATTTTCAAAATCATCATAAATAGTAACTTCATGCTTATTAGCTCCTTCTTGTGAAACATTTTCATGAATTTCAGAAAATTGCATAGATCCGATACGTGAAATGAGAAATGGTGACATCCCAGCGATAATAGGATTTTCTTGAACTTTTAATACGTCAATCAAAAAAGAATAATAATCTTTGGCTTGTTGAGGGTTGTATGAAGCATCCTTAATACGCGTTTTAGATATAGGGTCGTCAGTAGAAAGTACTGCTTTTTCTCCCGGATTAGGATGGATGCGTCTATCGATAGATACGATTTTCTTTCCTTGGAAAAAAGGCATCTCATAGAAATCGTAGGTCTGGGTCATGACAGGACGGTACAACTGCATAGAAGAAAACATCACTCACCCTTGGTAGAATAAAGAGATCTTTATTTGTGTTCATTGTCTATTACACAAAGGAAATCTACAAGAAAAAAAGAAAAAATGTTATTTTATAGAGTTATGTGAATTCGTTATCATTAGGGAAAGCTTGTTCCAGGGATGGGTTATCTCTACGAACATCCAGACCATGTGCTACCATCCGTACAGAAATACCATGAGGCCCAATCCACAAACTGACAGAATCCAAGATTGGGTGACGACTAAGACGACGAAAGTACATGTGCCGCTGACTTTCTATTTCAGCTGGGGTCATCAGTGCATCATTATATATATGTTATTCCTCCAGTTCGGCTTCCAAGATGACATTCCAAAGATTGCTGCCAAAACGCGATTCGTCTTGGAAAAGGACATTACGCCGCAACACGATGCGTATAGGTTCCATGCATTCAAAACAGACGAAATCATCTTGCGGATGTGCTTCCATCAGTCCGTTGGCCACTTGTTCGATGCGCCATATTTGATATAAAGGATGTTCTCCGAACCCCGGGCTGGACGTGCATTGGCGACATCGTCTTGTTTCTTCTTCGAATACACAGGCAGGGCATGAATAACAACGGGTGCCGGGTTGGAATTTTTGATGCTTGTAACGCGAATTCTGGACATTGTTGGGACACAGGATGGTAGAATCGCCATAGACAAAAGGTGGAATACGCTTAAGACGTAGAGGGATGGCACGCTTACCAAACAAGATTTCATAAGGTTTAAAATCCATATGACTTACTTTTGAAGTAGAAAGTGGTGGTGGCGGTGACAAAAGAAGCAAAAAGGAAAAAAATAAAAAAGAATATTATAATTATGAATCTGAATATAGTATCAAGTTATTTCGTAATATCTTACCTTGTTTCGACGGAATCACGAACTTGGAAGCTCAAAATCGATGCTCGAATCCGTTTGGAGCACCTCCTTTTATAGTGAATGCTTTTAAACCACGTGATACAAGGCTTAGAAACGTGTTTAGACCCTAGGGGCTGGGTACGACACACGTGATAGACGCTTCACGACAGGAAATAGAAGGTTTCTTCCTTATTTTAAAATAATATTTAAGGTAATCTTTGGTTTTTTAAAAATATTGCGCTTTTGAATAAGAACAACAAGAACAAGAACAAGAATGGAATGTACAAGAGAGATATTATAGTGAATACAACGAGGGTTCTGGTCTAAAAGAAGGAGAATTTACATCCATATTAGTTTGCGATTCAAATTCTTCTACTCGTGTTTCATACATAGAAAGAAAATTAGGACATGCTACTGTAACAATATTTCTTATCAAATTAAAGTCTCTAAAAATTCTTTTGTCTCTAGGTGAAGCATTAGAAGTATTAAAATTTGCTGAAACTATTCTTGAATACATAAAAAGATATCGATCTAAACACCGCACTTGTTTTGCTAAATAAATCGCTTCTTTTTTCCAAGATTCTTTAATTTCTGAATCATAGAAGCGTGGTATGCGTTCATCTAGATCTAACATCAGCTTTAGCATCAGCCAGTGCATCTGGGCGTGATAGGATTTAAATTCACTCAAGGATGCAGCTCTGCGCGGAGTGTTACGTCTGTAAAATAAGGTGCTCATCTGCAAGTAGGGAAAAATAAAAAAGATGAGTTATATATTGATAACTTGGTCGACAGTATTACTACAAAAATAATTAAAAATGTTTTGAAGTACTGACGGTAAGTTAGCAAATTTGGTCAAAATCCATTGGTCACGTTTCTTGTCTTGTTTTAGTAGATTAACTCAAACTATGTCTCCCATCATCTACATTATAAAATATAAATTACAACGTAGCTGAAGAAAGTCAAAGTAAAAGTTTTTTCTCCTCTTCTTGTCTTGTAAAAGACTCAGTCTTTCACCTTGAAAGAGTTTCTCAACACATATAAAACAATGTTGAGAAATATTTCAAAGAAAAAGATACGAGCCATGTGTCACGCTTATCATTATTTAAAAACATTATTTTCCCTACTTACATTTAAACTAAATTGAAGAGATGATATTTATGTTCTGGCTCGGGATGATCTGGATTAGGGACGTAGACCAGTTGAAAAGTATCCGTACGTTCTCCTTCTCTTACTTTCTCGGATTGCTTTGTAGCAGAGCAATGAGAAATTTTCTTTATCAGCGACGGCAAGTTTGGATCGTTCACCAACGCTCGGTAGTCTTGAATGAGTTCTTCGAATATCATAATTGCTGGTGTAGGGTGACTTTCATATCCGCTTAAGCGCTCCATATATTTTTCAAGGCAATTTTTATAGAGCCTTATCTCCCTCGCCTGAATAATGTGGAAATAATGATGAAGAGACTTTTTTGAAAATAAAAATATTTTTATTTTAAAAAACACGAGTATTTAATCAGCGACTACATGTTCACCCATTCTGTTAAATAAAAAAACCAACAAATTGTAGAATTTAAAGTGAAAATGGGAAAAAGCATAATCAACCAAATTGGTGTATACTTTGTAATACTCTTCTTGATTGGCATCCTTTAAAGGAAGAACCATGTCATCTTCCCCCGGCATTTTTTCGTATTTTCTATAATTCTTCTGCTCTTCAAATTCCATGCGCATTTGGGGATGTTGAACGCCCCAGTATATAATAGCTTCTTTGATAGAAGGGCGTATGCTATCCCAGCGGCAGGCAATGGTGACCATGAGATCCTTGATATCACAGAATTCTTGCTCGTAAAGACCCTTGTAGTTATAGAGCATGAGATTTTCTTTATAGAATTCAGGCTTGTGGAACTGAGCTTCTACTTCTGAATAGAAGGAACAGGGAAGGATAGCTCTGGCATGAAGAGCTACACTACCATCGCTCAACAGATCTCCCTTGCGATGATATTTGATTCGCTTTATCATTCTGCTGGGAAATTGCTCTCGTTGAAGTAAATCTTGATCGATATCGGCCAGCATTTCTCTCAAATCTGCCACGATCATCTTATGCTCAAGAGTTCGCCATAGAGGAGGGCGTACAACTTTAGTGTTAAACTCTGCGATCAATTTTTGCAACTCGCTATAAAGAAAAAAATAATATTAAAATTTTATTTTTTTTAAAATATAGTTTTTTGTATTATTACTCTAGCTCCTTGTTTCCTTTTCTTTCTATGTTGATGTTGACGCTGTTGGTGCATTGAAGAATAGGTCCGATTTTAAAATTAGGCTCTAACATTCTTTTAAAACGTGATGTTGGTTCTCGGGTGATATCTTTTTGAGTGGTTGTAATGGTAACGGGACCTTGAGAAACCACTCTTGCATGCGCTCCTAAAACAGTAGTAGTAGTAATCGTCGTAGTTGTAGTTGTAGTTGTATCGGAACCACCCGTGGCTTGAGATTTTTCTTTTTCCATTATCGAAGAATTGTTTTTTAAAAAACAATGTAGAAAATATTTTTTAACTGCTTTATTTATCAGAGATGATAGAATGTGAAATATAACTCGAAATGTGACTTTCGTATGCAAATTTCTGATCGTATGTGGGGAATTCCCAAAAAAGGTAAAAATCAGATGAAGCGAAACTAGAATAATTAATTCAACACATGTTGTTTTTGGATTTATAACTTCCTTTTTTATTTATCTAAAAAAGTTTCTTACATATATTTTCTACTGATTATCTACTTTATAGGGTGGAACATACAAATCTTCGAACCACAAACCTAAGCGATGGTAAAGCGTCGAGTGGACTAGATCAATCAAAGGCCCGTATGCTTACTTGAAAGAATCTGAAATAAATTCCTTCATCAAATTCCGTTGCTCGTCCAACGGCTCCACTATTGCTATCAAGCCTTCTATGATATCTTTGGCATGGTCATGGTTATCTTCCTCTTCTGCTTTCTTTTTTTCTAACAAAGCCTTCTTGTTGCTTTCCACGGTATCTCCGGTCTGTATATCCAACCTGAACTTCGACACCAAAAGATGAACGCCGTTTTTATCACACTCCTTCAGCCTTTCTTTTACCCATTTGATTTTAGTATCCTCCAACAAATCAGGTATGGGTTCCTCATCTCGATAGTCTCGATCGACGTCGTCCATCATTTCACGGAAATCGACCATGATGCCAAACAGATCATTTATTTTGGTGTAAGACTGAAGTCTGTCTAGTGGTTTGTACGCTTTTCCTTCTCGTTTATAACGGATAGTATCAATTAAATCCGTAGCATCTTCGTCGAGTTTTCTACAAAAGATATTTTTATTTTAATTTTAACTCTGTCTCTAAAATTAGTTGTATTAAAAATACTCACTCCATCAAGTCGCATTCTTTTCCTTCCAAATGTGGCTTGTGATAAAAAGGATAAAGCGGGCCACGAAATTTAGGACTGCGCGATGTAGGCTCTCTTTCTCTAGAACAACTCATCGTTAACTCTCTCGTGTTGCTTTCTTCTCGCTCTCTTATAAAGTTAATTTTTTCTACCCACCCCTCCCTGCTGCTTTTTTTACCCACCCCTCCCCTTCGCACTCTCGTGGCCCTTCGGGCCACCCTGTCCCTCCGGGGGCATGGCACGAGGTCCAATTGTCACGTGGGAACAATAACGCTCTCTCATTGGTTCAATTAACAATAGGGTCGGGCGGCCCAACTTAAACCCTTGTTGATGTACCGCCACTCTATTAACCCTTACTACTAAACTATCATAAAAACTATGAAAATAAAGGATCGTGTAACTAATTATCAATCAATCGTATCTTGCAGTCTTGAGTATTAATAAGGCAGCATGCGATGCCTATGAAATTACAACGTGGAATTAAACTGTAGTATCTTGGCAATTCTTCANCACAGATTTACAATTACAAAGACTTTATTGAGCAATTCCATCGCTATCATTGTGAAATCTGTACAATTTGAGTCCATTAGTAACTTATCCTCTACGTGTTGTGTGTACATTTCATAATCTCTATCTTACGCAAGAAAACACGATTCTCGCTAGCTTACATTACAATAATCACTCAAAAACTTACATGATCACCGTGTTAACATTCCTCCACATCATATCTGATAAAAATTTCGCTGGAAAATGTCATATCCGTCGCTCGGTACCGTTGTATACGCTAAAACTACCAAATTCCCAGCCTAGCTGAACCCAGCTTGCTATGATTGGCTGAAAACCTGAATAAAGGCCTGGTTCCCAATTAGGATTGCAGCGATGATAATCTGAACCCGCTTGAAGCGGTTTCCTAAATTTAGAAATGTACGCTTGAAGCGGTTTAGGATGCGTGAGAAATGTGCAACACACAAAACAATTTTTTTGTTGTCAGTTCCTATTGGTTATGAAGGTGAGACCCTTAAAAAATGCTATAAAAAATCCAATATCAAAAGAACAACATTTTAAATATAAGACAAATGGAATCATATGATGAATCAAAATTATTTTCAATTTCATGGTTTTGTCATATCGCTAATCAATACATTCTTGGCATTCTAAACTAAACTTTAAACAAATATTATTATATATGATGTGTTTTCTTATAATATTGACAAGATTTGTCAGAACACATAAAACTATCTATAACACAACATAAAGTACTATAACAATGAATGGTATATCCTGTTTAAACAATGTCAGCACTTTGTCAAGCAATATTTCTCAAAGTTCAAACTTGCTTACAGTTTTTCAAAGCCTTCTCTGAGGTTCTTGATGCAGGGGGGTGGTTGTTCTTGGATAGATAATTCTTGTAATATGTCCTCAGAAATAAATCTTGAAGATTGCTATTTTGTAAAATGCTGAGAGCCGTCACCACACCAGCACTTTTGTACTCTTTTCCCATGTGCTCTTTTATTCCCTTCTCAAAAAGCTTATTGTTGATCTCTCTCAGACAAAGTCGGAAAAACTCTTTTCTCGGCCCACCTAAAAGAAGAGCAGAACACTGTTTATTTTTTATCCATATGTTAAATGCTTGTCTAGTTAGAGCTCCCTGTTGAATAATAGTCAGACAATGCACTTATTAGGCCTTTCTGTAATGCACTATAATTTAACAAAAACTTTCCACCATGTCGTGAGGTCAACCGTGTTGGATGGCAGGAACAATAGATTATTTCTCAGGCATTTAAAAGTATTCTATTGTTCTCCCATTCAACATAGCATGCGTTACATCTGGTTTTATTTGCCAAAAGAGCCGTCTGCAAATTTATTGAAGGAATACGTGTTCTAGACCAGCAGCAGAGTTGCACGGTTATATATAACAGGCTCTCATTGGCTGCTGTATCAACTCAATCTTACATGCGTTCTTATTCTCTAAGAAGCTCAAACTAGTCCTACTCTGAAGATTGAATGCTTTGGTAACAGAGGTTAGAGGTCGTTTGAACGATTGATTGATTGTTATTTAAGTGCTCTTCCATATGGTGGCGTTTGCGATCTGTTTATAAGTTCCTCGTACCAACATCTTATTGAGTGGCTTAAGATCATCAGTTTGATTCTCCATGATTAAATTTATAAAAAGTTACCTGGAGTCTCTACTGGAATCACTAAAATCAGAATATTCGTTATCATCATTGTGCAGTAAACACGTAAATTGCTCCTTGGCCAGCTAAGAGCTTGACTTGCTTAAAATTGTTTTCACTACAATTTACTGGTTTTATAAGTTTTCTACGATTCGCCTTCAGAAAGTCATTCTCACTAACAAGGGGATATCTTTTCTGTATGGCTTTTGCAATTTCCTTTCGGATAAAACACTCTGAAACTGGCAGCTGTATAAATCCTCTCAGTAAAGTGGATTCTTCTTGCAGTGTTAGAGGCTCTTCCCATACGTCTTCGTCGGCTYTGATTAGAGCAAATTCAAAAGCCTTGCTTTCTTCAGGCTTTGCTTCCTTTGTTTCAACGCCAGCTCTCAACCTTTCGTTTTTAATTGAGTCTCTTGTACGACACGCGTTGAGAAGAAGACGCGATCATTGAACGAGCACGTTGTACTGCTTCGCCTATGTTGGTCGAGTAACTACTTGATATTGATGACATTCCCGTAGCAGAAGGAGTGGAAGTATTTAAAATCTTATTACAAATATTTGATGCCTGATTTAAGCACTTCGCTAATTCCTCAAAATTTGAAGTATTGGTCATTTTCTGGTCGATAAACTTCTCAATAATAGTTGTCAACAAGATGTGTAAGACAGTCAAAGACCAATGACGACCAAATGCGCGGGAAATATGGACATGCAGTATTAGTGGTCAGCGGCAGGGTTGTAAAT